ATAACCAGCGCCTTGAAGCGTATCCGAAGACCGATAGGCAGCCAGTGCAGCTCATGGAGGATAGGTGTTACGTGGGTGAACCGAGGTGCACCCACGATCGCTCGCGCGGCTGCATTCTGGACAAGCTGAAGTCTCCGAATGCTCTTCAAGGACTGCCCCATGTACAGCACGTTGCAGTAGTCCAGTCTAGAGGTCACAAGGGCAACATAAACAAACCAAAGCACCCACTCTCTCAAACATCTAACTCTCTTTTGTGAGCCTACGGTATAGAATGGACAGATCTTTTGTAAGGTTAAAGTAGAGTCCTGTGGGTTTTACTATGCTAGTCATAGTTGACTTTAAAGGGCAATGCTCATTTCCGTTTCTTGAAGCCATTGAGTCAGTGCTGTGCAAAGACATTTCCATGGTCATGTGGCCAGTGACATCATGCCGCAGCACAAGTACAGGCAGTCCTTGACTTACGAACACAATTGAGCCCAGAGTTTATGTTGCTGAGTGAGAAATTTGTTGAGTGAATTTTGCCCCATTTTTGTGATTTTTCTTGCCGCATTTGTTAAGTGAATCACTGCAGTTGTTAAATTAGTAATGCCGTTGTTAAGTGCAATTGGATTCCCCATTGACTTTGCTTGTCAGAAGGTCGCAAAAGATGATCGCATAACCCCGGACACTCCAACTGTCATAAATATGAGCCAGTTGTTAAGCATATGAATGTAAACCATGTGACCATGGGGTGTGTGTGATGCTGCAATGGTCATAAGTGTGAAAAATGGTCATAAGTCACTTTTTTCAGTGCTGTTATAACTTCAAACAGTCACAAAACAAACTATTGTGTATGGAGAGCTACCTGTATATGACAAAACATGGAATGCTGTTAGGTTCCCCCTGAAGTGGTACCTATTTATCTATTTGCATTTACATGCTTTTGAACTGCTAGGTGACAAATGATGGAAGCTCACTCCATCACACGGTGGTGGGTGTTCTCGGGCGTGTTTTAAGCCACTGAGTCACCTTGCCTCTTGTGTCTTTTGTGCACTGGCTATATTTATATTCTTTCTTACTACCATGCTGAAAATTTCTTTTCCTGTCTTCTGCCTTGTTCTTCCCATTTTTAAATTTTTTAACAGCGCACAAAAATAATGACCGAAAAGGCTTTGCTGGGATTGGCAATGCTATGAATAGATTTGGGAGAGGCTACTCTCACCTCAAAACTTGACTACTGTAACACGCTCTACATGGAGCTGCCCCTGAAAAGTATTCGGAGACTACAATTGGTCCAGAATGCAGCCGCGCGAGCGATNATGAATGGTTTTTGAGCCACAAAGACAGCTGCCTGATGAAAGATAACTTAGCTTAGGTGGGAGGGAAGTTGTATGTTCCAGCCAAAAACTGTACTTAATGGAAAGGTGCCACGACTCCAAATTGGTGGGACACTTTGGTTTTGTAAAAAACTTTACACTTAATTAAAAAGCAATTTTGGTGGCCATCACTAAAAAAGGACAAGGAGAGCTGTTGTAGCCCGGCAGGAGCCGTTGGAGCTGTCGATGGACTCCGATAGCGAGGAACCCTATGAGGCAGCTATGGAAGATGTGGAGGACCCTGGGCAGGGTTCAGACTCAGAACAGGGACCAGAGAGGCTGGTTGGCCACCAAGAAGGACCTGAAGCATGGAGCAGTGGAGAAGATCAAAGGGAGTTTGTCCCTGATGTCAGGGAACATAGGATGGAGAAATGGAGGCAGCAGTTATGGAGACAGACTCGTAAGAGATAATCAAGCCCAGGTGGTTGTGGCTGGGCCCCTCCCAAGAGAGTATGTAAGAAGATACTTTGGGAGGAGTCCTTTTGCAGGACATCACAATCTGGAGAAGCTGTTGTTTGTATTCTATCTCTTGTCTGTGAGAGTCTGGGTTGCTGCCAACGTCTTGCCTGTGAGTCGTGTGTGGGCTTTCAGACAACAGGATTGTAATTGCTGTGAATAAAGCATTGCTAACAGTAAGCCTGTGTTGGCGTTAATCACCGGACGGAGGGGGGTCAGAACAGAGAGCTATGTAGCCAGCTGTCCAATTTGTGTGGCAGCTGAAAGACGCCAAGGCAAAATGCCAGGACTGTTACAGAAGGTAGTCCAGCCTTCAGCACCCTGGAAGGAGATTGCTATGGATTTTATTGTCGGGCTACCAGAAAGTGCAGGGAATACTGTCATTTGGGTCATAACACATTGTTTTCAAATTTGTTTTATACCATGCCAAACGATCCCAACTGCCAAAAGTCTAGCCAAGTTATTCCTCATACATATTTATCGCCTTCATGGAGCTCCACAGAGAATCATCTCTGACAGAGGGGTCCAATTCACCTCAAAATTTTGGGGGGCATTCTTAAACTTACTTGGCACCACCCAAGGACTGAGCTCCAGTCACCATCCATGCATCAATGGTCAAACTGAAAATTGGAATATGGTTCTAAAACAATACCTAAGATGTTTTATTAATTTTCAACAGAATAACTGGGTTGATCTTTTACCTTTTGCAGAAGTGGCCTTCAATAACGCTGTGCACTCAAGCACTGGTTTCACCCCTTTTAGAGTAGCAACAGGCCAAGATTTCAACCCCATACCCTTCAATACTGAACACTCCATC